ACAGAGAGTGGAGACCTAGCAACTCACAGAAGGAACTCAGTGTAAACAGCAAAACATGAGGAAGGCCTGGGGGAGACTTAGGACTCTGGATCTGGTCCCTGAGTGTGGGTCTCCGCAAGGAGTCTGAGGGCTGAGCAGGGAGCACATGACAGCATCAGTCAGAGGAAAGCCTTGCAGCTCTGCCCCTATGTTAGTGCACGGGCTGAGGCAGCACCTCACAGCAGGGATGCCAGTGAACAGCAGGTAGCACCACACAACAGGAAAAGAGAGACCAATGTTAGGGTTCCAGAAATTGTGTGCAGAGCCATCTGAAACGGCCCTGGTGGGAGAGAACTGTGTTCAAAACCATCAGTAATTTATCTTTTAAACTACCATTATTTTAATGACTGTAAGTCATGCACCTGAATTAGAATAATAAGTCCATGTTGAATCCTACAGAATAGGTACCCATATGCTTTAATCAAATAAGAATATACAGTGTACCTCAATCCCTGGGCAAATGTGTTTGTACAAGTGTGTTCATAAGCACTAGGGAAAAATATATTTATGCATATATACAGGAAACTTTGGTTAATTATACTGATTTCAACTGGTCTTTTGAAAGGAGCAGTTAATGTTACATTTATTTTCTTTTCATTCTTATTTCTTCTAAGTGTTTTGTTGGTGTTACCTGTTTTGTACTTTTCTTTAACCAATTCTGCACGTTTACCTCTAGTAACCTAAAAAACGAATTTGAAGATCATGTCATGCAATGCAGAAACCATGGCTGAATTCCATTATTTTCTTCAGTGAAATTTTCAAATTTTGAGTCACTGCCAATGCTTTATATTTTAGTATTTTGTGTTCTTTAAAAAATTAGAAAGAGTAACTAATACATGTGCACATGTACTCTGAAGTAGGGTGTTTTCCATGCACACATTATACACTTTGTGTTTCTAGTGATGCAAAGTCCACACACACATTTGGTAGAAACACTCAAGAGCATGTTGAATCTACATCAGCTCTGAAAGGTGGAAATAATGATCCCGAATATGAAAATTTCCCCCCACCGAGCATAAGCAGGACTCATTCCAATTCTCTGCTGCTGCTCAGCTTCATCGCCAAGGCACTACTGTTTTAGTGATTGAACATCCCCTATATTGTCACCTCTTTCACCCTTAATGAACCCTGGTATGAAAACTCTTCTTTCTATGTAGTAGCAGAATTAGATAAGGCTCTGTCCAGATCCAACCACTTTGTGGGACTGTTGGGTATAACTGCTGTGGTTGAAATCCTTGGAGCAATGGCTGCCTCTGCTGGCCGGTGCCTTGGTTCAAAAAGCACAAATTGCCCAACTTGTAAATGATTTAACACACAAGGTATCCTTAGCCCTTATGGCTCAGGAGCTGTAGATCAAAAGCTAGAGGCCAGGGTGGGTGCCTTGGAAGAATCTGTGTTATATTTAGGAAAGAAGTTATAAGCTTTGCGGCTTAGTCTGTGAATGTACTGTCATGGGGCATATTGATACATATCTGTAGCTCCTTCTTTCTACAATAATGTTGGTTACGGATGGAAAAGGATCAAGGCCCACATCATGGGAGTGTGAATCCATTCTGATGTGGGTTTCCACTTAACTCAATTACATAAAGAAATTGTGGAAATAATTTCTGCTCATTTTCCCACTGCTCATGCTTCTACTTTGAGGTTCAATATTTTTTAAATGGCTCAAAATATTTTCCTGCATTGCTTATTCTTGGCTCTGTTCCTTGATCTTTCTAGCTGTGTTATTGCTTCTGCTTTGTATTTTGCCAGGAATCACTGGATGGGCCCAAGGGCAGCTACATAAGCTCTGAGTTGCTTTTCACAAGTAACAATTTTAAGTAAATAACGGGGAGATGTTGGAAGCCAAACCCGCAAATTGGTTTGATCTTGCTGAAGAAACAGTCTGCTTAGGATGTAAAATGTCGCAAAGGGCCCCAGTTTCCTTATTCCACAGTTTGAGCAATGGGCCCAAAGGTGGACTTCCTGTTTCTTCAGGTTATCAGTTTTCTCCTTAGAAACAATTCTGACACCAGTAAAACAAGAAAGCTTTGAGGTACCTTCAAAAACCGCTGGGCACAGGTACAAGATATTTCTATATATAAGCTTGATGCAAAATAAACTCATTGCTAGACCACAGTCCAGAACTCCTAAACATGGCTTTCTTTCTCTTCCTGCCATCTTCCCTGATGCCATCTCTGAGGCATGGATCCATGCATCCACAGATTGTGCACCAATCCTTTAACCCATAAGCCTTGGAGAGACACTTACGCTAACCACAGAAGAAGGGCTGGATGTAGTTTGGGTGCCAGCTGAAACTGCTTCCTGTTATAATCCAACCTCAGTCATGGTGGGTAACAAAGACATTGGCCGGGCAGAAACTTTCCTGCCAGGTATATATTGGCAAAAGGGAAACATCATTTCTATTATATGTAACACTAATGGGACTCAAGGTAAGCTTCCATATGAAGTGAGGCAGTGGAAATGCATTGGGTAGCTTTACATGGATCCAGAATGGAATACTAAGCTAAGCAGAATCGCGGGAAGAGGCATACTGCTGAGCATATTGGAAAAGATACACATTGAAGAAATTTGTGCTGTGTTTTAACATTCACAACAGCAATCATGACCAAAGATGCAGCGAGCAAGTAAGACCGAATGGCCCACCTGGTTGG